TCTAAATCCATCTTAAAGTATCTGACGCTGACTCCTTGAGAAACCTTTGAGCTGCCATCAGGATGAGGACCATAATGATGGTGGTGTGTTTGAACGATGGCATGGGTCTTCAGACCATATTGAGTCGGCAAACTGCCTCAAACACGTCCCAGATTTTAAAAAAAATAATAGTTTTTCTTTCATTTAAGCCGTAGGTCGTAATTAGAGGGGCTTCAAATAGGTAGGGGTGAAGATGATGTGGAGAGTTAAAAGACTTCACTTTCCAATACAGGGGGTGTAGGTTCCATCCCCGGTGGGGAGCCAAGATCCCATATGCCTCCCAGGCAAAAAAACCAAAACAAAACAAAAGCAGTATTGCAACAAATTCAATAAAGTCTTAAAAAAAAAATGCCTTGAAAGAGCAGAAACAGTTAGGTTTCTTACCTAGATATCGCCAGGCATAAGCAAGCCTCTAACAGAGCCGAAAGGAAGATGCCAGGACTGACCTTTACCCCACACCTCTATCTGGGGCACACAAAAGGGGCCTTGAAATTACCCAGGGGGCAGAGTGGTGTATTCATCGCTGCCATTTCAGCCTTTAAAGCCCCCTTCATACAAACACATTTCATAATGAGACCTGGTGAATGCTGGAAAAGCCCCAACAAACCCAGAACACTCCCCCACACATAAGAGCTTTCTGGAACAAGAGTTTACATAAGTAATAAAATAAAGCATGCCCCTCCCTCCTAATGATCGGCAGCAGGAAGCCGGAAGGCCTGGTCCATGGTGCCTGCGGTTTCAACTCTCAGGGAGAAGCGTGTTAGGTTTCCACCTTAGAGGGACATTACTTGGGAAAGGCGTCTGGAGATGCTGGCAGCAGGCACATCAGCAGAGGGCACGGCCACATCTGATGGAATTACAGGGAAGCAATTAGGGAGATAAAGCTCATTTATGTGAACAACTGTGGGGTCGAGGGTTGGTCATCAGAGGCTTAGATCAGCCTCAAAGAACTGTCTGAATAGCCCTCAGAGGAAGGAGAGGAGAGCCAAAGAGGGACTGTTTAGAAGGAGGACTATTTGAAGGCGGTGGCTGCGGGTGCCTCTTAAGACAACACTGGCTAAGGCTCAGGGGCTAGAGAAGCTGCTTTCTCTTCTGTCCACCAGCCAGGCTGGCCTTCTGGGATCTGAAGGACAGCACTGTGCTTGCAGTTTACATGATGCGGACTGCAGTCTTCTCTCTGCAGGGGTGAGCAGGTTCTGGTGCATTTCTGTCAGACCCAGAGAAGGTTCTGGAAGTGTCTAGATGGGGTGCAGTGAACTTAAATCTCACCTGACTCCAGACACTCCCTTAGGGGGGCAAAGGAAGAATCTAAGATACAACAATTACACAATGATTGGCACATAGTAGGTACTAAAAAAAATATTCAGGAGGAAATAAGGCTAGGGGTCCATGAATACTAATTGACTGAGTGGGAGAGGGTGAGGCTTTGGAGATGAAAGAGCTCCTCAGCAAGTTTCAGTAGAGAGACTCTTTTAGGTTTTGCTTACTGTGTCAGGAATCAACTACAATCCTCAGCATCCCTATGGCCTTGGCCTTGTAGAGACAGGCCTCTGCTCAGGGCTGGGGAAAGAAAGGGATGATCAGAGGAGCCTTTGTGGGTAGGAAGATCCAGTTCTTGGCCTCCTTTCTCTGCAGGGACCTGCCCTGCCTCCATTTTCTCCACCTGGAAATTAATGAGTTTAGGTCTCCACCATCCTCTGGAGCTCAAGGTGGGGGTGGAGGCGGTTAACACAGAGCTGGAGGTGGGATGGGGCTGTGCCTGTGGAGAGCAGGGGGATCCGTAGGACCAACTGCTGCTCTAGGTCTGTTGATGTAGAGACAGGCTGATTTGGGTAGCAGGTTCTTCAGGAGGAGGGCAGGTTAACCCTTTGCATTCCCTGAATGGTCTCTTTCAAAAATAAGCTTTCCTCAGACCCCCTCCTGTACACATTCTGGTTTTCCTTCTGTTCAGATGTTTAAAAGGCATGAACCCTCCCTCCTTGGGTCTAGGTAGGTTCCTGCGCCTCTCCCTCTCATCATCTCCCAGATCTCTGCCTACAACTGCAATCACAGCCGCAAAGAGGAAGTGAGAGGCTCCCCAGAGTCCTGGCCAGACTTTCGGCTCTGACAGAGCTTGAGAATGGTCCAGGAGTTTGATGCTTTCCCCCTCTGTATCTCAATGACTTCCTTAAGCCTGTAATACAGCTCCACAGCAAAGGGGGACAAATCCCTTCCCTACTCCCTTCCAGCGGGATCCCGTGCCCCCACCCTAAGCGCAAGCAGACCCCAATATATCTGCAGCCCCAGCCCTGGCACAATCTGCCAGTCTTCTGGATGCCCGGTTATTTGTTTAAAGGGTAAACCAAAAGCTAAAACCAGAGCAAAAACGCAGCCGCGAAGGAAGGTGTCGACCCGCATACAATGCACCCGGAGCCCAGAGAAAAATCTGCACACGGAAGCACTCCGCAATGCGCTCACAGCATCCTCCCGCCCCCATCTGTGCTTGCACAGATCTGTGTTTCCGTCACAGAATCAGCTTCTGTTTCTCTGAGTTTGTTTGCATCTCTAAGCCCCTGTCTGTCACAAGCTACACACCTCCCCACCCCAAAGGCTTCGGCTGAGGCAGCCCAGCCGGCGCGAGCCCGCGACCCCTGCCCCCCATCCACCCCCACCCGCTCCCGAAGCCGCGGCGCGGAGCTCTGCGGAGGACGACTGGGCTCTGTGGCTCCTTCCTCGCAGGGCCCTCGCGGACCGACGGGTGCTCAGCCAGCCCCATTCTTGGCATTCACCGCGTGCCTTAATTGTATGGACATTTAAATCAAGGTCCGCTGTGAACACGGAGAGAGAGGCCTTTCTCCTGAGGAAGGAGAGGAGGAAGGAAGGAAAGGTGGAAGAAAGCAGGGGGCGGTTGGGGAGAAGAAGGAATGAGAAAACGGGAAAAACAAGTAAAAAGCGGCGCGCGTGCGTGCGCACTGACAGCGGGGAAAGGCGTGGGGGTGGGGGAGCGCCGGGAGGAAAGGACCACAGCATCCTCTCTACCGCAGCTCCCCAGTCACACAGACAATGAGATAACAGCGACGTCTTGCAAAGCCTCTTTGTTCTCCCCCATCCTTTCGAATCCAGGCTTTTTCCTGCAAAGCGGAGGGAGTGGTAGGTTGAGGGGTGTGGGTGGAAGTGGGAGACGGAGGGGTGCCTCCCCCCGCTTTAATTACCCGATTCCCCGCGCCCCTTCTCCGCACCTCTCCTCCCCTGTAGCCCCAGACAATGAAAAAAAAAAAAAAAAACCCACCAACCCCACCTCGCCTTAACGCAGCAAATCCTACCCACCCACTTCGCCCTCAGCTTTGCCCAGGAAACTGAGGGGGGCCGGGAGGGGGAAGACGAGGGGAAGGAACCCGCAGGGCAGCAGGCGCTCCGCTACCGCCTTTACCTAGCTTGCTGAGTCCAGGCGCAATCCGGCCGGGCGTGCCGCAGGGGCGAGCTGCCGGGGTCCGGGGCCAGAATCTGGGGAATCAGCCTTCCAGAACTCGGTTGCTGCAGTCCTCTCGCTCAGGTCCCAAGTGGTGGAGGGGAAAAAGGAAAAGGAAAAAAAAAAAAAGAGGGAAAAAAAAAAAAACCCACCCATAAGACCGAGGCCCATCTGGCCTCTCAACAGCTTTGTCAAGTCTTGCATACGCTAAAATGCTAATGACCTAGATAGCTCATGCAAAATGCAGCAGGGAGGGAGGGAGCGAGGGAGGTGGGAGGGAGGAAGAGAAAGAGTAGGGGGGGGGGCACAGCGAGGGAGGAGTAGACGCAGGGGAGGGAGGGAGGGAAGAAGGGAGGGAGGAGGCAGAGAGCGAGCGAAGGGGAGAGAGAATATATGTCTTCTAAACACCCCTACCACTCTCCCCACCCCACCCCACCCCACCCCAAACTGTCAACGGGCTTTACCAGGTGAAGGCTGGGCACAGATTTAAAAGGTCACTCTTGTCTAATGCGCTGGATCCCTGGGCCAAAAAAAAAGGGGGGGGGGGAGGATCAGAGGATGAGAGTCCCTAAAACCAAAGGGATAATAAGACATTATTTTCAGCCTTTCCCTCTATACCCTCCTCTACCTCTCTCTTCCTTAAGTGTGTACATGGACATACCAATTTTCCATCAATTTCTCAGATCTCCTATCAACAGACACCAGTATTCTCATCCCCAGCAAAACTCATCCTGTGAACCCAGAGAGGGGTTCAAACAGACCCCTTCTTTTCGCAACCCTCCTCCACCTAGCCCATCCCCACTCACACTATCCCCTCAGCCCTTCGGCTTCATCTCTGGCTTCGACTCTGCTAAGCCTCCTGTTCCACAGTCTCCTCTTCAACGCCCAGATCTCGAGAGGGTGAGGCAGGGAGCAGGAAAGCCAAGTTAAGTCTATCCGATCTCCCACAGTTCCGCTCCCGTACCCAGACAAACCAGCAAATGGAACCCGTCCCCAACAATGACACTGTTCAATCATACCAAGAGGCTAAATAAAATTCGAGTCCCCTCGGAGGTCCCCACGCCCGGCGGACAGGCGATCACTCGTATTCCCGAACCAGCGCTCCAGCGCGTCCCTTCTCGCCGAGCCCAAAGTGCTTTGTCCGGGGCGGGGGGCGGGGGGGGGTGTCCACTCAGGTCTTCGTCTTTTTGTTCTTCTTGAGGGACTGGTCTCAGTCCGCAGCGTTCCAACGAAAGGCAGTAGATCTACTGGAATAAAAAGGCATCAAAAAAAATGTACATGCACATGAATGAAGGAGGGATGCGGAGAGGCGAAGGATGTCCGCAAGTAGGGAGCGGCCGCCAGGGCCCGGCCCTAGTGGCTGCCTTCGCTGGGGAACGGGGCGGGCGAAGAGAAGGCGCTGGTGGTCGCTCTCCCTGGCAGGAGGAAATGATAACCATGATAAGAAGCATCATGGTGATGATCATGAGCAGGATAAAAAAAAATTCAGAATCTCCCTTTGGTGAGCCAGAGCATGCGTGCAGGAAGGTCTGCACTGCTGGCGGAGGCGGCGGCCGGGGGGAAGGAGAGGCGAGCGGAGCAGGAGGCAAAGGTTGCGGCGGCAGCACCCTCAGATGAATAATAATAACGCGCAGCGCAAGTTGCGGTTGAGCCTGGAAATCCAGCCCTTCGCGTGAACTCGCGTCGAGCGCGGATTGCAGGGGATGGGGGAAGGAGAGGGGGGAGGGGAGGGAGGAGGACGGAGGGGGAGGAGGGGAGAGAGGAAGGCAGAGAGGGAGAGAGAATTTGGAACCTTTTCATTTATCCTTACCAAGCCCTAATCTCGCTCGCCGTCCTCTTTGGGTGAGGTCGATCCCCTTTTAAAAAATTGTTATTCCTTTAACGGATTATTCAGCTAAAAGAAGCCACATCTGCTGACTGTACCGAAAACAAGAGGATTAGGAGCCGGTCCACAGAGCCGGGCCCGCAGCCCCCCACCCCCTCTCTGCACCAGCACACGTCATTCTCACTGCCCCCGGGTACCTCCCTCTCCTCCTTGCTTGGGGAGAGCTGTGCCAAGGAAAATGCGGATTTGGGGAAAGTGAGAAGTGGGAGCGCTCGGAAGAGCGGGAAAGCCAAGTCGGGAGGTGGCGATTCGCACCCCCACATTCACACGCGCTTCCGTTTATCCGTTTCTATGCTGGGAGAAGGGAGGCGCTTTCGCCGTGCCCACACGCGCGACACCTGCAGTGGGCCGTGCCCTCCGCCTCCTTCACGTAACCCCGGCCGCACGGGTTCCGGGACCGGCAGCTGTCCTACACCCGGCCCCCAGCTCGGCTCCCCGTCCTCCGCCCCGGTGGCCGCCGCCCCGCGGTTGGTCCACCCCCTGTCTCTCTAGCTTTGGCAAATGGAGTAGGGGGCTCAGGGCACCGCACGCCCTCTGCTTCTAATCCCAGACAGGGGTCGCGTTTCCGAGGGCCGCGGCGCGGGCGAGGCCCGGGGCGGGGTGCTTGGGGGTGGGGGGGCCCTATGGAGGATGCGGTTGACATCACTGCGGAGACCGCGCGGCTGTCCCGCGGCTGCAGCGACCGCAGCGCCTTCGCGCCTCCCCCCTCCCCGCAGCCGGAGCCGGCGTCAGGGCAGGACAGCGGCGGGGGTGGGGAGAGGGGTTGTCATCCGGGGGGAGGGAGTCCCATCCCCGCCCCCCTGCAGTCAAGGTGAACGTGAAGGAGAGCGGGCGCGCGTGTCCGCGCTTCTGGGTACGTGCGCGCGCCCCTCCTGGCTCCCCCCGCTTCGCGGCCCGCGGCGCCCTCCAGCCAGCCCGCCAGCCCGCGCCGCCGGAGCCAGATGGACGCCCGAGATTAGAGCGCGCAGAAGTGCGTCCCCACGTCCGGCCGCCGACCGTCCCGCGAACGTTTAGACTCACTTCGGGAGGCGCCTTTTGTTGTGCTGCTGTGCCCGTGTGGAGTGTTTTTCGGGAGCGCTGGGTTAGCTTGGCCTTAAGGAAGGGCTCAGAATGAATCTGCCCATGAGAACAAAACCCAGAGACACCCCCACCCCGACCCCCAACAAGAAACCCAGCGCCAGCAAGGAGGAAACTTCGGTGTTTTCCCGGGAGCCGGTTCAGCAGCCGCGGGAGCCAACCCTCACCCCGGCGATGTCCGCTCACACGCAGGTCCCATCTGCTTCCCCTACTCCGGCTTTTCTTGTTTGATGACTTTAAAAGAAAAGAAAAATCTTAAGTGTCCCTCGGGCAGCGCTGGATTCAGAGCAACGAGCGATGGGTAGCAAGAACAAGCCCCTGACAGCTAAAAGCAGCTCCTTAAATCCGATGGCCCGCGCGCGGCGGCCGGGAGCGGTCCTGCGGGGTCGCGGCAGATGCGCGCCCACCGCGCGGGCACTGTCCCAATGCGTGGTGACCCTGGGCTCTGCCCGGTTCGCTTCCAGGCCATTTCGGTTCTTGCCAACTATTGGGTATTTGCCCCCATTAAAAGAAGAATAGCACAACCTCTTAGCACTGGCTTTTTGCCTCTAACGTGTACCACGAGAAGCATAAAAATAAGCAGTTTTTGTAAATTCTAAAAAGCGGAAAGTTTGCTTAAAATCGAGAGAGAGAGAGAGACGCAGACAGGGAGAGAAAGAGACACAGAGAGGAGCGGAAAAGAATATAAAACACTCCTGTAGTAGATTTCTAATTTCCGAAGACTGTAGTTTGTGGGAAAGAGCCGTCCTCCGGCTTGTCTCTCCGGGGAAACTCACCATTCTGATAACGTTGCCCGCAAACTAAAATATTTTCGTGGTGGAAAAACTATCTTGGCGGTCGCTTGGCTCAGGACTTCCACCATTTTGATGAGGGTTTTAGATTCAGGACTATGTGTTTCCTATTTACTAAGAATTCCTTTAAGCAAGCAGTTCCTGAAGCCCTGCAGCGTGGAGGGATGGGGGCCGAGCTCCAGGTAACCCTGACTGAAGGGCAGCGGGACACGCTGCTGTTGCCCTTCCCTTGGCTTTCTTAAAGGCCTGGTTTTACTTGAGAACGGTTTCAGTGCGGTCCTACTGAGCCCGTTGCTGCAATGCAGGATATTTGCTCTCTCATCTTGCGGCATGGGGGGAGGGGAGCAGAGAGATGGTTTTGTAACAGGCTCTGCAGGCCTGAGTGGGAACGCCTTAAACGGTGAGCCCTGGTTTTAAAAAGAAAAGGAAAGAGAAGAAAAAAAGAAAGAAAAAGCAGCTGATGCTGAAATAATAGTTAGAGCATATCCCTGGGGCTTTCTCCAACGAGGGGCTCACGAATCCTTTCCCCTCCCCCAGTCACGGATTTCATATCTGTTTTTAAACAGTCTCATCAGATGCTGGGACATTTGTGATGGCTTCTTAAAACCTAAACCCTTGGGCTTAAGAGCTGTCTGTTCTCCTGATCAAACTCACCCCAAATACTAACACGTTAAGAAATTACATTGTAAAACCTCCCCAAATCCGATTGACGGGGCTGTTTGGGGCCCATATGGCTGGACAGCTGTGCAACTCCACGTGAAAAGACACCATTGCCCCTCGGATGGTATAAAGCGGGGGTTCCCCAGAGAGCTCAGACATGACCTAAGTATTAGCTTAGCCTGGGGTGAAGACTGAGTTAAATCTCTCTCTTCTTGGAGGTTAAAATAAAGACAGCAACAAAAATCACAAGAGGTGTACTTTTGAATTCATTGTAAATTGCATGCCTCCCGCTGGTCCCACCAAAGGAAGGAAGAAGACCCTGAAAAATAAACTCTCTTTCCAGCTTACCACAGGCATGATCTTAGGCAAACTGAAGACACAGGAGGTTGGGAAGAAATATATTATTTGCCAAGCGTACCACGCGTTAGTGACAGTTGTGGTTCCCTGTTCAGAGAAGTGGGGTTCTGACCTCAGCCAATGCCTCAGTGTTAACCATAAAGAACGGCCATCAGAGCGCGATTTCCACGGTGAGAAGCTGAAACCGTGCTTTAAAAAGGAAAGCCCATTATGAAATTCAGCCGGATTTAATTTTTAATATGATGGCGGATCCTCTAACGCATTCTTTGCTGGTGTTTGCATTCAGAACGAGTGATTCATCCTGTGGCAGAAATCAAAATAACTCTCTGCAGTACTTTGAAAACGGGCGCCTCATTTTTAAAAGTGTCCTGAAATAGAATATTCTATAACCTTCAAGTTGTGGTGGCTGGAGAAATTGAATATAAGACTCTGTCCCTACTGAAGTGTGCAGGCTAGATAAGAAACAGGCCTGTTCTTACTTATCTATGTGTTCATTCGTGTGCTGCGTCCTCTTCAGGCCTTAAATATTTTAAATAAATAAGAGAAAGGGGAAAAAAAAAACGCTCACAAATCAAACTGGAAAGTGAAATGGGAGAAGAGATACTGGTTAGAGGATTAGATTAATAAACTCTGAGTCCAAAGTCAGTCAACATTGTTTTGGAGAAATTATTTCAGTAGTGAAACTGCATCTTGTGAAAACTTTGCATAGATTTAACAGATACTGAAGTGTTCCTTTAGTGTCAGTTCATATCTTTGGAAATAGCCCCAGATAGTTCTGCAGTGACTGTGGCTTTAAAAAAATTAAGCAATTTTGGAGATATTATTTGAGTGGCATAGCTAATGATGGAACCCTGGAGGTCATTTGGTTTCTTTCTTACTTGAATAGAAGAGGAAAACATGGCCTAGAGAGAAGGAAAAATTGCTTCTAGATATCATGTGGATGGTTGGTAGAAAATTCAGCGATAAAGTTAAGAACAAAACCAGTTCATTTTTTGCCTGTATGTTTTTCTCATATCATATTTGAACTTTAGGTTTTCTTAGGATTTTGTAAGTTTAACAGCCCACTGACCCTAGCAAGTACCTTTTGTGTGTAGGTGGGATTTAATTTTGAAATTCAAGTTTTTCTCTTTAGACTCTCTAGTTTGATGGATATTTCAGAACAAATTTAGGAACACACACACTGCCAACCTCTTGTGGCCCCGGAAGGAAAGGTCAGAGCCACACAAAAGTTTCCGAGCATGTGGTAGAGTGAATTAAGTGCCATAACAGGCCTGGAAGATAATGACATAAAGTCAGAGCTGGAGGTTTTGCAGAAGGACCCCGGGACAGAGGTCTGGCAAACAGCATCCTTTCATAATTATTTTGGAGAAAGGATAAGGCATGTGACAAGTTCCTGATTCAGGCCTAGTTTATCAGGTGGCCGTTCTGAAGTCAGTTTGTTTTGTTTCTGTGTTATTTAATAAATTATTCATATCGTATGAAAAAAGGGATCTTTGAGGGAAAAACCCCCGAAAGTGAAAGAAACTGTGGTGTGGTGAAGATGACCTCTGTGACCTTGGGCGAGTGAGTCACTCTATCATAGAGGATATGAAACCTTCAACAGGAGCTACTTGGAGTAGATGATTTCTAAAGTCCTTTCAACACCAATAATGTTTGATTCTGTTGTTTAAAAAACAGAAAATCCACATATTCCCGAGTCTGGAAAGTATTGTTTCCCTTTTAAGATCTATTCTTAGATACCGTTCTTAAGCTATCTTAAGATACCATTCAGGTCCTGAAAAGTTGAACCTAGAAAGCTTTAAGGAGGGTTGTATGTGTGTTTCAATGACATTCATCTGAAAGTACAACGCTCTTTATTCTTGATGACCCTCTGGGTCGGGAGAAGGTCCCTTTAGCAGGTGAAAGCATTTTTCTATCGCTCTTAGAATCCCTTGCCACAGTGGAACTGTCTGCCTGTTTTGCCTTCACATAAGCAGATCCAAGCTGAGCCCTGTAGCAGATTTAAAAGCCCTTCCCTTTAGCTCCATCCTGACCTAGATTGCCGGATGAAGACTAATGATTCATTTGCAATGCTTATGATGGGCATCCAGGCAGGGTCTTCCCTCCCCCTTGTTCGGAAAGAAACCCTGTTATCCTTATCATCTGATATTACCACAAGTAAATATTTTTGTTCAAATTGCTACATAGGGCATGAGGCTATTTCCTAATGAATTATCTGCCCCAGGGAGATCTATAACTTGCCAGTGCTTCAGGCAATTTTTAGCATGTGTCAGATTGTGTTTGCATTAGAGAATTTGGACTGTTTTTTTTTTTTTTTTGGTGCAAGCAAACTACAGTTTTTTCCTTCCGTCTTTCTACAGAGATACACAATTCAACATACCTTTACAAAGAGGAAAGCCTTGTTTGTGTTTAATAAGAGTCTGACGGGAGCACGCACGTAAACAGTGTTCTTATACATAAAGGATCTGGTCGTGGAGAGCAAAGAATGTTGGTATTCATATGCCGGATACTGTTTTAATGCAAACTGGACAAGGCTTTCTTTGAGTTTCATTTCAAGGCAGCTACCCAGTAAGTTATGAAACCAGCGCGTTACCCTTGGAAAAATGGTCCTGACTAATAATGAGATGCCAATTGGTGTGTTCATTACATATACAGATTTGAAGCAGAATTAGTAGAAATTACTGAAATGGAAATCGTGTCAATCACAACTGAGACAGCTGACAAGTCAGAAGGAAAAAAAAAAGCCAAATGTGATTCATATCTTGTAGGATTCTGTCTGAGGATGATTTAAATAAATTTGGACATTAGGTGGTGACAAGATGAAAATGAAAAATAACATCCAATTGGGCAAAAAGACTGTAGTAGGCCTGGGGGAATGTGAGGAAAAAAAAGGAAAGGGGAAAGGGAAGATCGAGGGGGTCGTTTGGAGGATGGCTTGTTTGTAATGAATGAATGAGTAGATGAAATTTAGAATATTTATTTCCCAGTAGCTGACACTGAGTAGACATTCAACTGTTGTTCATAAAATGAAATCAGTGTCCCTTCTGTGTTGAGCAGCATCAAGCAGGTTATCTGCATATAAACCCTGCTGGGAGGCTACCGTATCCGCAGTGAGCAGTGCAGTACAGGCAAAGTCAGTTTACTACCCATCTTTAATTTCCAAATGCGGTAGACAGGCGTTTAAAACACTGTATGGGAAACAAAGGGCTGCTGCATGCCAGGCAGCTACGGGCCAGGCACAGTGCTGTTTAGGTGTTTTCTTTATGTGATCTAAACCTCACAGCCTTACTAACCCCATTTTAAAAGAAGAGGTAACTGCTTTCCCGAGCGGTTAAATGACTTTGTCAAGTGCATAAACTGGAATTGGAATCCAGTTAAGACCGGCCTCTAAGACTCCATGCCGCAGGCTTCCCAGAAGAAACAAGAACGACATTATATAATGTAAAGCTGATACAAAAAAAAAAAAATGGTAAGCGTTTGTCCTGCTTCCTGTACCAAGTTGGAACCAGCAGCGTGAGACCGACAGAGCAGATGAGAAACACCACTTAAGATAATTTCTCCCGCTAAACTCTGGTGTACACTATGCAAATATGATTGCAAAAGTGGGACATGATCAACACTTTCAGGCTAGTTATCTTTCAAAGATGATACTTGGCGTAATCAACATAAACTTAGTATACTGTATCCTAAATAATAAAAATGTTGGCCTGCATCATTCTGACATCTGAGTACAACCTACCAAGCCTATCTGCATGATATGTAGTGATAATACCCTCCATCCAGAAAGCATCTTCACAGTCACAGCTTTTCGTCACCTGGGGTAGGGTGGGGGAGGGGAGCTGGAAAATAGAAAAGGACTTAGGGGCTCCCAGAGTACCTGGGGGAATTCTTGGGGTGGAGGACTGTGAATCAAGATGAATGTACTTCCATTTGGTTCTTGGAGGTCTCCCCCTTCCTGTCTCCCTCAAGGCAGGCCTGATAAGCAAGAGCCTTGCTCCGAAGAGATGTTTCCTGTTTTTGATGTGTGACTAGATACACTGAGCTGGTCCTAAAAAAACCACCACCACCACCACCAAAAAAGAAAGAAAAAAAAAAAAAAGAGGAAAAAGCCAAACATGGATTGAAGCAAGTGATGGAAAAGGCAGAAGGTAAAAATAAATAAAAAATAAAATAAATTTTAAAAAAAGGTAGGAGGGAATAAAAAAAGGAATGATGGAAATTTTGTTTTTATGGGATTTGTTTCTCTGTTTACTACGTATTTTAAAATTATTGAGCTGCCCCGGAACAGGCAATGATCACATTGCATTTCAAATTCCTTAACTTGTCATATGTCAAAGATATTACAGATCGTTGTTACGATATTACCAAGAGTTCCTTGTCTGGTAAAGCAGCCAGAGGGCCCACAGAATGCTGTCCGCGTGGGGTGGGCTACTGGTCTGGGAGCCAGGAGGCCTGGGTTCTAGTTCTTGGTTTGTTGCAGTGACCTTGGACAAGGCACTTTCCCCCCTGGGGGATGCAGGAGGTGGACCTAGGGCTCCAACCTGCATTTGTTCTGTTCCCCACTTCTCAGGGCTTCCTCCTGATGCTTGCAGGATAACGTTCCAACGCTGAAACCGTCACCTCACTACATTTCTTCTCATGAATGCATACCTGTGTCCATATGGGCATGCTGTCACTGCAGTTGTGTCTACTCTTTGCAACCCCATGGACTGTAGCCCGTCAGGCTGCTCTGTCCATGGGATTTTCCAGGCAAGAATACTGGAGTGGGTTGCCATTTTCTTCTCCAGGGGATCTTCCCAACCCAGGGATTGAACCCGTGTCTCTTATGTCTCCTGCCTTGGCAGGCAGGTTCTTTATCACTAGTGCCACCTGGGAAGTCCTTCGTCTCCTCAGGAGATTTTAGGAACCCCTGAGCCAGTGAAGGATAGCTAGGGGAGACAGAGGAGGCTTTACTGGCATTTCTGAAATTATACCAGGTTTGCGTGGGTCCTTGTCTTCTTGCACCAAAGGGGGTGAACTCTGAACAAGCATGAGTCTGGGGGCCCAGACAGATGCAAGACCACATACCAGCTCCACCACTTACTTGCTCGCTGACTTTGGCTAGTTTTTCACATGCAGTATGTGAATGATGATAAGGCAGACCTCACAGGGCTAGTATTTACTGAGAGAACATCCCGTAAATGCCAGTTTTGGACTTCACTCTCTGCGTTTTCTCTAAAAGGCAGGAGGGGGCCAGTGATGATCTCTGCTCCTCCCACCCTGTGCCTCCCCAGTAAAAGAGGAGGCAGGGAAGTGGGCAGGGGAAAATGCCATGGCCCGTGCTGTGAGGTCCACGGCTGGCCCCAATCTGAGCAGAAGGGGGACCTGGGGAGGGTCGAATTCATGACTCATGTTCTGTAGTTGATCCACCATGCTCTCACTGAACAAGCAATTTGAAAACAACATATTATGAAATAGGGAGAAACACAGCTCTGAACTCCTCCTGAATCCTGGTGGGAACCTTTTGGAATGCTGAGGGTCTCAGAAGCTTCCACGTGGATGGAGCTGGAGCAGGTGGGAGTCATTGCCTTCTTGAGATGACCAGACATCTTGCCGGCCCCCTACCCCCCGCACTGTGTGTGGGGTGGTCAGAGATGGAAGAGAAATTTAGGGCCAGAGGAGTGAAGCACCTTCCCTCGGCTCCCTAGTTATCCTTGGGTGACTGGAATCAAAGAGGACGGGGCTTGCACACGTGTCGGGAGGGGCGGAGGAGGGCACAGACGCCAAGGGGTAGAGTTCTGTGCAGGGGCGGGCGGGGTGGCTGCAGAACGGGGGACCTGTTTCCGCACTGGGCCTGAGCACACCTCTGGCAGAACTGCAAGCTTCTGAGGGCCTCTTTCAGACGGGTAATAGCTATACCTACGTCAGAAAGTGGTAATCAGGATAAAATGGCACCGTGCACAATAGATGCTTAACACAATGCCTGTCATAGTACGTGCTCAGTCACACTAGCTGAAGACATTTTTTAACTGAAAAAAAAGGCAGCCATGTTGCTCTTGGCCAAGGAAAACTGTTCCTGTTCTTGGCTTTCTTCTTAGTGAAAAAGCCAGGGAAGTTCCCCTGCTGCCCATGGTAATGGCATCACCATAAATGGCGGAGAAGGCCAATTGTCAGTCCATTTTCCAAGGGTCTAAGTGAGTCTCTTTCTTTTGGAGACCTGAGTGTTAAAGTTAAGGTCTGTTTTCAAGAAAGAGAGGGGCCTACAGTATCTACTTTGTCATCATTTCACTTGTAGTACTATCTATTAGCAGGAGTGCAAGGAGACTTTGAAGACTTTAGCTGGGGTGTGAAGTTCTTTGGAGATAAATGAGAGACACAAGATGAAATTTAGGACTTGTTCGATGTGATGGAACAGCACACACCGAGTGAGTGAAAGAGTCAATTTTTAGCATCCTAAGGGAGGCATTGTAAAAAGACATCTTCTTACACAGCAGGGTCCCAGACCCTTAATTTCTGGCAATGAGAAACCTGAAAACTTCATGAAAATTAGCACCTAAAAATCTTAGATAAGATATATGAATATTCTTTTAACTGCCTAGTAGAGTTTGAAGGAAATAAATACAACTGGACCAGAGATAAAATCTAGCTATATGCTATTCATAAGTGTAGCATCCAAAACATGAAACAAAAAAGCTAAAAGGAGAAAGATGAGAAAAGAAATAGTAGGAAAGAAAACAGACGTAGTTTATTAATGTAATATAAAATAGACCTTTTTTTTAATGTTATATAAAATAGACTTGAAGACAGACATTACTAGTAATAAAGATGGTCTTCACATGATGAACAATTTAAAAAGGACATTTAAATAGAAGAATAGGTCTAACATTGTATGCCCCTAGAAACATGCTTCAAAATATAAAAACAAAAAGTGACGCAATTTCAGGGAGAAAATGATGAATTGGAAATGATATGAAAGCTTGCCCAGTCATGTCTGTCTCTGAGACCCCCAGGACTGCAGCCCGCCAGGCTCCACTGTCCATGGAATTTTCCAGATAAGAATACTGGAGTGGGTTGCCATTTCCTCCTCCAGTGGAAGTAATAGTAAGATACTTTAATGTATCTTTCTCCGTAACTGATAAAAACAGAAAGGATCTTGTAGAAGGTTTGAACAAAACATTCTCAAGCTTGCCCTTATTAATAATTAGAAAAATCACATTCTTTTTGTGTATATGTGGGACACTTAGAAAATCTGATCATGTACTAGCTCAGAAATGAAGTCCCAACAAATTCTGTGATATAATGTCATACAGATTGTATTATTTGACCACAGTATCATGTAGTGAGAAATCTTAGCAAAAAAAAAAAAAAGGAAAAATCCACCTGCTTCTCTCCATACATTTGGGGGCGGAGGGAAAAGCATTTCTAAATAACTCACTGCTTCAAGAAGAAATCATATGATAATTAATTAATGAATTAAAATTCTACTTATCAAGATTTCATGTCTTTCAATCACAGAAATGAGTAAAGAATAACACATAGGCTGAAGATGCTTATATTAATAAAGAAGAAAGACCAAAGATTAATAATCTTTATGTCAAACAGAGGAGGTAAAAAAAAAAAAAGGAAGAAAAACAGAGTAAGCCCAAAGAAAGAAGAAGAAAAAAAATAATGGAGGAAAAAGTGATGAGAATCAGACTCTACTGACATCTGGAATTGGTCCATAGCTACTTTACAGTCAAGGAACATCATTCCATTGAAAATACCTATCCCTTCTAGGATCACATAATCTCTCTCCCCCCAAAGACCCTTCCCACTGAATCTGCACCATCTTTACAGTGGGGGGACTAAAACCATGTTTTGTTCATCTCTGTAGGCTTTATATCTAGCTTAGGTGCTCAGCAATCCTATTCGATGACTTTTCCTTTGGAGTTATTTATTTACTCTCTTGGCTGGATTGTAAACTCTTTGAGGCTGAAACTAGATCTTTCTCAACTCTGTTCCTCCGCAGCCTGTGAGCGAGGACTTGTGAAAAGGAGCCACCTGATATTTAAATGTGTTTGAAGTTGTATTGAATTTGTAGAGAGAGCATTAGCTTATAGGCTGGAAGAGAAATGGAAGGAGGAAGGTGGGGTGATTTCTGATTCGTTCAGACTTGGGAATCTGATCATATTCAGAATAGGCTACTGATGACCTTCAGCACAGAAAGAAATTTCCTGATGCCTGGGTGTGATTTTGAGACTTCTTAAGAAACTTAGGGAAAAAAAAATACTAAACTCTCCATTGGGGAAGGAATACATACCTTTCTGATTCCTGTCTGTGGTGGGGATGAATGAGTGATTAGGGGTAAAATGTTTTAGAGTTGGATGCTACTCAGTTTTAAGTTCCCCTCTTCTTTTATTATGATGGCTAGATATCCATATAAAACTTACCCCTTTGACCATTTTACACAGTACCATTCAGTGGCGTTAAGTACATTCATAATGCTGAGCGACTGCCATAATTATGTATTCCAGAACTTTTCCAATAATGATCTCAAACAGAAACTTCATCCCTATTCCCTTTTAACTGTGCCATTTTGCCAGTTTCTTCATCTGAGAATCAGGGCTAATCATATTATCTATTGAATAGGATTACTGTCTGGATTAAATGATGTAATGCATGAAAACTGCTTAGCACAGTGCCTGGCACTGTGTTTCATTGGGTAAGTAGTCAACAAATGTTATTATAGAAAAGGGCAAGGGGAGAGGAAATTCACGTCCTCTAGAGCTGGGAGGGCGACTTGAGGGAAGCATAGTTCAGGAAAGCCTGCTGGACAGGGTCTTGATGGGGCTGCTCTAGAATCACACCTGGTGACAAGTACCCTCTCCAGTCTCAAAGCTGTGGGACTAGGGGAGGTTATCTCCAAAACTCCTTCCACCACCAGCGTCGCACCTGGAGTGTGGCGGGAACTCAAGAAACGCACAAATAAGTGAATGAATGAATGAAACATATGCAAACATTTCACTGCTCCCTGGGAAGTAGAACTCACTTAGTTGTCAAGCTATCAATCAGAAGACTGAGGCTCAGAAAAGTAGTGACTTGTTTCCAGATCACACAGTTTGGGGGAAAGTTGTGTTTAAAAAAAAAAAAAAGCCAAAGTTCCTAAGCATATGGTGTAATCTTAACTTGA